CACCTGGCAAGGGCAGAGCTGAAGCAGTAAAAAGGGGCTCTTGGAAGGACATGGGCACTGTGCAGTGTTGTTCTGCCATCGGGGTCGGCAATAAAACGCTGTGTTTTAAGGAGCTGGCCTCTTAGACTGGGGAAAACTACCTGGAGGGGCTCGAATGGGAGCTCGTAGCGGATCTGGGCCGCTTAAAGCTTGGCACTGAACGTGCTCGGGAGCCCGGTGGCCACGGGGTGGCTGCGCTGCACGGGTTTGGTCCTGCGTCATCCTGCCAAGCCAAGTGATGGGGCTGGTAGCGGGCTGGACAAAGCACCCAGTGTCTGGGAAGGGTGGAGGGGGCTCCAGGGAGTCTTTGGCATCTGCCCTCTGTTATTGTTGTGGCTTGGGTGGGTGACTGGCTCTTCTGGTCCCCAGTGTGGGACTTTCTGGGCCTAGATCTAACTGCCTGCCTCAGTTTCCCCCTTGTAAATGGGAGGAATGTGCAGCCTGTGGGCACAAGAAAGTGGGTTTACAGATTTACAGAGGGGCTAAAGGATCCCCATGCTGTTCACATGGCAAAAATGCTTCTTCTGGACAAGAAAACGAGTTGGTGATGAGAGGGCAGCACGGCCGGGTTTCTGGAGGGACACAGCGAGCCAGGAGACCTCCCTTTTTCTGCCTGGCTCTTGGTTTCTACATGAGTCACATCCCTTCTGTCCCTATCTACAGCCAGAGGGAAAGATGGGGAATTTAGGTGTAAATCTGCTCCGTGCAAGTATGGCCCTCCCTGGCGCACGGCTTGGATCAGAGCCCAAGCTCCCTGCCCCTTCTGGCCAGGGACCTCTCGCTCGCTGCAGCGTCGCGTGTTCCTAAACCACCGAATCCTGGGCTTCCACCGTGACAACGCTCGGAAGAGGGTCCTGAAGAGGGGAGGGAAGGTTGTACCCTGCACCGCGCTGGCCTGTGAGCGCAGGGAGTCGTGAGGAGAAAGAGCAGATGCGCGTGTGAGTCCTTGGTCATGGGTGGATGGATCTGCCCTTGGTTCCCCAGAGCCTTGGGGCAGCCCAGGGCTGGGGTGGATCAAAGGAGCTGGAGTTTGGTCACGACTAGCTGTGGAGGAGGGAGATCTTCTGCCTCGGGGCTTTTAAGTGATCAATTAGAGTAATAAACCAGGCTGAGCCCCATGCTGGCTGTCACCGAGCTGGTAGTAATGCTCTTTCTGTGGAGGAGGAGGGTGATGGTCCTTAATGCTTTTCATTCAAGCCCAGGAAATCTCTGCCAGGCTGAATTAGGGCCAGTCACAATCTGTTTGGGTCTCTGCCCTGAAAGCCAGCAGCATGAGCAGAGGGATTTGTAGGAGCTGCAGATGCCGCCGTAGCCCTGGATTTCTGCAGAGCTTCACAAGAGGGCAGAAATCGGCTACAGGAAGCGCGCGCGGCTCTCGGAGCCTGACAAGGACTTTCTGATGGAAAATTCTTGGGGCTGTTTTGCTCTCAAGCAGAAACACATTGCAGATTTGCCGGGAGAGCTGCCGCAAAGTCGCAGCAGGGACCGCGAGCAGCAGAACCATCCCTGCCACGAGCACCGTTATCGCGGTGTTTGTGCATTTAGCATCAGGTCTTGTCACCTGATGTCACCTGCCCTCAGCCCTCTGGCTCCTGGGGGGTGTACAGGGGTCTGGGTCTGTTCACAAACGGTTATTTATTCCAGATAAAAGTGGGGAAGGAGGAGCGAAGCTGGGGAAGGAGGAGGGCATGAATTCCAGTGTGTGGGAGGCTTGCAGCCCTGGGCGCAAAGGGACAGGGAAGGACTTGGGGACACAGCGTGTCAGAGTGTCCCAAACGGAGGTCACCCAGAGCGGTGATAATCCTGCGTTTTTGCTCTCTGATAACCACCCTCGTAACGACTCCATGGGGAGAAGTGGGGAGAAGACGGCGCTTTGGGACGTGCTGCTTTCGCTGGGTCCCGATGGGCCCAGGGCTTCTCGGGGGTTCCTGCCTGTGCGGTGACTTGGGGAAAACCGTGATGACTCAGAGCAGGAGAGCGATGCTTGCCCAAGAGGGTTCCCGAAAGCGAGGGAGCTGCGCGAGGAATTAGTGTTTGCAAAACTGAAACCTTTGCATGTGCAGGAAAGCGCCTGTGCTGCCGTAACCTGTGCTCCTCTAGCTCCTGGCGGGGTATCCAGAGCGAATTGCACCCCCATCCAAGAAGCCGTGTTGAGGAAACTGAGGCACGGAGCAAGGCAGGGACCTTGGTTCTGCACAACAGCGAGAGAGCTGGGAGAGGAGCTCCAGCTCGTCCTTCCTTCCAGGCCTTGCTGCAGTTGTGGTTCCTTCTCCCAAAGCTGGGAGCTACATGAGCTCCTTCCAAAGGGAAGGAGCCCTGGAGAGCTGAAAGCTGCCCCTTTCCCAACAGCCTTGTTATACCTTTGCCTCGAACTGTTAGACTACAAGTCTCCATAGGGCTGGGATGGGCGTTTGGGGGGGATCTTGCTGCTCTTTCTCCATTTCTGGGGCAGAAAGGAGGACGTAGAGCTGTGCATGTGTGATATTTAAACTCCAAAGTCTCCCTAAAAAACGATGCTGTTTTGATGGAACCTGGCCATTCTGCATGATGCAGGTGGCCCACAAGGAAAAGGCTGAGGAAACGCAGCAGGGAGTGAGCTGGGCTCATCCCGCAAAGCGGAGCCTCAGCTCTTAAGCCCTTGTCTATGAAGTGGGATGTGCCCGGGACGCTCATTCCCCAAGCCAGATCCAGGGCTGGTGACAGCGGGGCCACCAGTTTCCCGTTGTGGTGGCTGTAACCTGGAGCTGGGGCTGGCTCCCAGGTGGTGACTTCAGGAAATCAATGCCGGAGTGTTTAGACGACATTAAAGAGCGCTTTCACTTCTGAAGGTTTGCTTTTTTAAAAAAGGTGCTAAAAATAAATCTTCAGTTGTAAAGCAAAATAAAAACACTGCCATCCTTCATTCCGTCTATTCCACAGTAGCTGGCATTCTTTCGACAAAGCTTAAAATAACCGTAAACAAACCCGTGCAAATAAACGGGTGAGTCATGTTTGTTAATGCGCGATTAGGAGTATTGCTCTTGGCTCCGCGCTGCGACGTCGCAGGCTCCCGCTCTCAAACGGAGCAGAGGTTGCTGGCAAGACCGGGGGAAGGAAATTTGGGACCTTTGAGCTCCGGGTTCTTCTGAACAAGGAGGTTTTAAAGCAGCGGCTGCTGTTTGTTTATTTGTTTTTGCAGTCCTTGGCATGGCTGTGGTTCGGGCTGTCAGTACTAATTAGGCTTGCGCCCTGCTTGTCCCATCTGTAAACCTGGGTCTGAGGGTTTAAGAGGGAGGTTCACTCGAGGACTCGTCTCCAGTGCCTGGATGAGCTGTTCCAGGTCCTGCACCGCTCCCTACAGCCGTCCTTATTCTCTCCTTACAGCCGTCCTCTGTGCGGGTTGAGAGAGGAAGAGGATGGTGCCAGCGTTGCTCTTCCAGAAGTTGTTCCCGGCTTCGTTGCATGGGGTCCATCCTCTGCCCCTTGGCCACGGCGACTCAAGGAGTTTCCCCTCGGGAAGGGTGATTTTGGGGGTAGCTTGAGCGGCTTTGGGAGCGGAGGGCCGATACGGCCACCCTGATGTGACGGTGGGGCACGGATTGCCCGCCTGGCACGTCCGTCAGCAGCAAAGGGATTCCGTGGGACTGAAGCCATAGGAATATATATTCCATATGGCCTTGGAGCTGGCAGGGATGCGGGTACATTGCGAACCCACTTCCTTGGGAGGAAAAGGAGGCTAAAAGAAGCTTCCCAAGCCCCGAGTGCTGTGGCTGGTGCTGACAGCGTTAGCGTGGGCTCCCCGGCACGGCTCGGCCTGGTGAAGTCGTTAACCGAGGAAGAGCATCTCTTATTTCTAAGGAGAGCAGAGCGTTCTCGTGTGAACATCGCGTGGGGCCTCCCCCCTTCGCCCTTCGTTTGGGCTCAGCTCAAGCACATTCCTGGGCGCACAGCAGAATGGAGCATCCGCAGCTCCCGCTCGTTATCTCCACTGTCTCCGGGGGCTTAAGGCTTCTCTTTGTGCCCCTGTCCTTGTGCATTTTTATTGCCAGTGTGCAAAGGGTCAGAGTGCCGGGTTTCGTGCTCATCCCGGCCCCAGCTGGACGGATGCCGAAGGTGCCACGGATGGGGTCGGGCATGTGGTGCTGCCCGGAGTTCCTGCAGCAACTGGAAACTGCAGCTTGAAATCCCCTGCCCGGGCTGGCTGTGGGATGCAGTGGCACCAGAGCCAGCATCAGGGAAGGTCCTGATGCTTTCCAGGACGAGAGAGCTCAGCAAGACCCGCGTGTCCCGCATAGGAACAGGGCTGCCTGCCTTCCCCTGCCGCAGGAAACCGGAAAGCAGAACTTTTCAGCAGAAGCGCCCCAAGACACGGCGGTTCCTCTCTGCCTGGCGCCAGGTTCCGCTTCAGGGCCGCGTTGGCCTCTCTTGTGCCGCCGCGCGGGGAAGTGGCAGAGGGGGCCGCGCTGCCACCTCCATCCGTGTAAACTCATCCCTGCGTTGCCTCGATGCCAGCAGGGCCGAGCGACTCCTTCCTCCCCTTCCTTCAGCTCCACGAGCAGATGGAGGAATCTGGACGCGGCTCTTCTCGAGGAAGCTTGACCCTCGTCACGGTCCTCTTGCTTCCTTGATGCTGTTTTAGCTGCTTGCCTGGCTCGTGGCTCTGCTGGGCTGCCTATTTTCTCCTTAAAAAACAGAAATGACTGTTTGCAAGGAGCCCCGAGCCCTTTCCCGCCCGTCGCTCCGCGGTCGCGGCGTTCGCTCGTCACGCTGGCTCCCGCCTTGGCTCCCTGGCAGCGCGCAAGGTTATCGCATGTGACAGCCTTGTCACCCCTCTCATAAATCACACGCCAGGGCGGTATCAGTTGTGCTTAAATTCACCGAAGACAGTAAATGACCCATCTCTCTATTTAAGGCTTTGTTTTTTGGAGACAGAGCAGTCTTGCTGTTAGAAATCCCTCTCTGGGCTGTTTCTGCTCGCCTCGATGGGCAGCAGATTCCCCGCTGCCGCCGCGGCCCCGCGGGAGGCTGGCGAGGTGGCCGCGTGCGTGGAGGTGACGCGGCCCCGGGCGGCTCTGATGAGCTTTGGCAGCGCAGCAGAGCAGCTCCCAGCTCCTTCCCCAGCCTTGGCTTTCTGCTTCACGTGGCTTGGGTGGATTCTAACCCAGAAACCACGGTGGTTGGAAGCCTTGGTGACAGCAGGGGGGCGGGGGTGGTTGGGGTGACTCTCCGTCCCCGCTCCGTGATGCTCCGGGCTCGGAGCGGCTCCGCTGCGGGGGCTCCTCTGGCTGTTGCAGCCTGGGGCACCGCAGCACCGGCTCTCATGAGGACCGTGATCTGGAGGGCTCAGCTCATTCCCACATCCCACTAATCCCACTGCCAGTGCTACCCTACAAGAGAGGCAATAGGTGTCCGTCCCTGGGACAGCAGGGCCTGGACTCCAGCCCGATGGAGTCCAAATCCTGCTGCCCAGGATGGAGAAACTCCCTGGAAACACTCACTGAGCAGCTCCCGCCTCAGACAGACAAAGCAATTACCTGGGTGGCTCTTTGCTGCAGAGACCACCTGGTCCTAGGTGTTTCCGTGGAGCACATTTTCTATAGCTGGGAATAGCGGGTGGCAATTTGGGAACATAAAGGGGCCAGAAGCCACCAGCTCCAACGAGCCTGGATGGGGAGGGTGAGCGATCCCGTGCACTTGTTGCGTGGGATCCCATGGGATTATCCTGTCCCGGAGCTGGCTGCGGGGTGGTGAAGGGAACAGCAGAGACGGTGGCTCTGTCCTTGCTGGATCACGGTGACCCGAGAGCGGTGACGAAGTCCTCGGTGTGACAGAGTCGCAGCTCCAGCGCCAACCTGCTCGGTGCTCGGTGTTGCCCGCGCTCCCCCCGCTGCGCGCGGCCGTTGAGGTAGGAAATAGAGCAGAAGGAATCGCGGGCAGCATGTGGCCCTGCTAAAGATAGCGCTGCCGCCCCGGCCGAGGAGCGCCCGCATCCGCGGCGGCTCCGCGGCCTCCCTTGGGAACGGCCTTCCCGGCGCCCTGGGAAGGTGCCAGGCCCGGAGCTCCCGGCACTTGGCTTCCCTGGACTGGGAACCGTGTGCGCGGAGCACAGGAGCGCGGGCGCTGCGTGGCAGCCTGGCTGTCACCTGCGTCACCGCACTGACGCGCGGCCTGCGATGGGGCCACGTGGCACCGCCATCGGCTCCGAGGCTCCCGAGCGCAGCCCCAAAGTGCTTTGCCGGGGGGAAGAGCTGGGTTTCCCTGGCTCTGCTCGTAGCAAGCTGGGGATTGGCACCGTGCGGGGATTCCCTTCCCGCGGGGAAGCCCACGGAGGCTGCCAGGCTTCCGGAGCAGATGTAGGAGCCGAACCCAGGATTCCCGTGGGGCTGTTGGGTGCGTCAACGCGGCGGAGTCCCCATATTGTCCTGGGCTGTTCCGCACCCTGTTTTGCGCTGATGTCTGCAGACTCTGGGCTTGGGAGGAGCCCAGCTGTGGTTTGGGGCTGTAGAAATACCCCACGAAGAGCCACATGGAAGATGCGGGTGACCCCTCCTGCCAGCACTGTCAGCCCCCCTGGCTTTGCTCTCCCTCCTTTGCAGATCCCCGATGCTGCCATCAACACACTGGGGAGCGAGAGAAAAAGACAGGCGCTGTACCTGGGAAAAAACCTCCCGTCAGGTCACGTTAACGCGGGAGGAGACGTTGCCGCCAGCCTGGAAGGGAAGTGCAGGCTGGGGCTGCCTCTCCGGGACGTTGCGACCGTTCCAGCGGGATTTGCTCTCTTCGGAGAGCACCAGGAACAGGCCTGGCTGCCCCTTTTGCTGGCTGAGAGCTATGGAAAAGGGGCTGCTTAACTCAGACTGAGCCTTAAATTCGCATTTGTATGGAGGGATGGCGCCTGTAGCCTTCGTGCGGCTCCCTCCATCCTCCAGACGCTCCCTCCAGGCTCCCTTGTCCGTCTCCGGATCGTAGTGATTCCCCTCCCCTGCTCCCACCCAGCTCCCTGGAGCTGCTCCGCAGCTCCTTGCCCTGTTTTCCATCTCCATTGGCTCTGGAATACAAACACGCTGCAATAAAACTGCATTTACCAGGGATTAGCACAGCTAATCCCATAAATGTGGTTTTATTCAGTTATTGGAGGCCAGGTGGCATGTAGTGCTCTCCGCTCCGTCCCCTGAGCTGCACGGAAGGCTTTGCAGGTCCCCCCAACAACGAAAAGGCAGGGAGAAAAGCACCTTTTGCTCGTCCTTTTAACACTTTTTTTTTTTTTAACCTTTTTGCAGGGTTATTTACAAGTCCTTATTTTGCTAAGCAAAAGAGCAGAAGTCCGAGTTTGGGATCCTAGATCAGCATCCCCCTTTGCTCCTTACTCTTCCCCCTTGAGCAGCAACTTGCAGCTTTTTATAGGAAATCCAAGAGCAAAAATAAACACGGCCACGCTGAGCATGAAGTCACCCTCGCTGGGGGGGTCCCGCAGCACCGCGTGCCCCCGCTGCAGCACTGGGCTTCATTGTCCGCTTGTTTTCGCTCCTCACCTAATATCCCGCCCCGAATTCCCGCGGAGGAACAGCGGGAGCGCCGCACAAGGAGCCTTCTCATGCCTGGCACATACCTTTCCCCATCCCGCTGTGGACATTGGCAACGTGGGGGGAAAAGCAAACAGAGCAGCCGAGGTCTGTGCGCCGCCGGCCTCTGCTTTTGCCCCCCAGACATCATAAACTCCGTCTTTACAAGCTCTTTTCAGTGCCCAGGACCAGCATGGAAGGTCTTTTTATTTATTTCCATGCACATGCAATAATTTGGGTTGCAGACATGTGCGCATTGCTCCTGGGGCTGCAGTTTAGCGGGACGGCCGCCTCCGCCGTCTCCTTCGCACCACGTTCACGCCTGGAAATAGGTCTGGAAATTGGGAAAAAACAACAACTCTCTGCTGGTTGCACCTTAAAATAGAGGCGTGCTGGTGCGTCACCCGCCTGCCATCACGGCCTTGGCCCCTGGGCCTGGCGGCTGCATCGGGAGAGGATCCTGGTGCAGCTCCAGCGGAGAAGCTCCGGAGGGTCCGACCATCCTTGTGCCGCCTCACGGCCACCCCTGTTAGGGGCTGCCTGGTCCTGGGTTTAACCGTGGGGCTCCACTTTTCAGAAGGATCGTCCCTGTACACAAGCCGAGCGTTTTGTCCCCGATGTCCCCACTAAGGACAGTGCTATGAGCTCTGAGGAGGTTGGTCGGATGCAGCTAGTCCTCGTGCAGTGGAAAAGCAGGGCTGGAAGGGGCCGCTGGTGAGGGATCATATCAGCATCCCGTGGCGCAGAGGTGCAGGAGTCATTGCTCTCGGGGAAGAGCATCCTTCAAATTGCAGCTGTGCTTGGGAAGAGGGAATTAAAGCCCCCATATTGTTCTGTTATTGCCACTGCAGCGAGGCTCGCACCCGGTTTTCCATGCTTTCCTGCTCCCTGGGGAGCATTATTGTATTAGCAGCACTTCTTATAGAGAGGTTTTATTTCCTTTTATTTCCCTTTTCTCCCTGTGTCTTCATGGGCAGCTCAGGCCGAGCCAGGGAGCCTCAGTCCCAGGGCTCAGACAAAATGGAAGTGCCAGAGACGCCACCGAGAATCCTCAGCTCCTCATCCCAGGCTGTCCATGATGCTCCTGGGGCAGGACCTATCCCGATCTGGGGTTTTGAAAAGAAAACAATATGGGGACAGGTGAATTTGGGAGCCCCAGGGCAGGTTTTTAAGGCACTGCCAATGCCAGGCGTGTGCCTGCGGGACTGGAGAAATCCCAGAAATCCCAGGCAAGCTGCCTGACTCCCAGATGGCGAGTGTGGGAGAGCTGTTGCAGCTGCGGGTCAGCAGGGCAGGATAAATAGAGCAAAACAGAGATTATTAGGCAAAAGGGAGACAGCAGGGATTAATGCAAGAAGCAGGAAGGGTTTGGGCACTGCCGAGCGTGCTGGGCTTGGGCGATGCACCGAGGCCGAGGGATGGGGGACGTTCCCAAGCTTCAGCATCCAACAAAACAAAGCAAATAGACAGTTGAACTGATGGTGAACGGCGTTTGCGCTGGGCCTTGCGGGTGCTAAAGCGGGGTGAGAATCCGACTCCCACGGGTGACCTCAAATTTCCATGCGGGACTGTGGGGTTGGCTCCGAGAGGTGCTGCGTGCCCTGCTGCCATCTCTCCCTCGCTGCCTTGCAGAGATAAAGTTCCCTCCCCGAGCAAAATTGCATCTTTTGTTCATTGCAAATGAATTAATGAAAAAATTAATACAGAGCCGGGCTAAGCTGCCTTTCTGAAGCTCCATTCGTAGGCTCAAGGGCTAAAGGACTTGGCAGCGAAATGCTCCTCCCCATCTCGCGGCCTCTTCGTGCTCCATTTCTGGGTTATTTTGAGCCTGGATCCTAACATTCGTGGCTAGGAGAGCGTCTTTCCCAGTGGCTGGTAGGAAGATAGGGCTCTTTTGGGGAGCAGCTGTAGGATGTAGCTCGGCAAACTCAGCCATGGGATAAAGGCTGAGAAAAATGTAGAGGAAACATTGTGCTGAAGTCAGGTGTCATGTTAAAGATCTCTTTGGACCAGGACAGGAATTTCTGGCAGCTCTTTCCAGGGGCCTTAGCAGACATTTAGAAGAGCTCCTGGCAGCAAGAGGTGGCTGCTAGAAAACCCTCCGAGTTTCCTTCTCAACTCTATTCGAGATTGCCCATGAATTCATTTTAATTTTATAACCCTGTAAGGCCTTTGGAATCCACGTGTTTAATCCCAGTTTGGGCTCCCAGAAGGCATCTGGTGCCGCCTCTCCTCCCATCCATTCATGACAACCCACGGCGGAAAGGAGAATTAATGGCAGAAAAGAGAATTAATCAGGCGGCTGCTAGGGAGGAAAAAAAAAAAAAAGCTTTTTATCTCTCTAACAGATGCTGAATTTCTTGCCGCACCCAAGATAGGCTGGAAAACATGATTAGGCTGGAGGGGAGAGGCATCACCCGTGTCCCCATCCCCTCTTGCCCACATCTCGGGCTGCTCTGCCCAGGAATGGTGACATCCGTGACCTGCTGTAGGGACAGGGAGCGTACGGGATGCGTAGGGTCTTCCATAGTCAGGATCACGATGTCCACGTACGCTGGGCTCCGTCACCTTCGGGGTCCTGCTCTGGGGGAGATGTGTCATCTTGCTGGGGTGGTCGTGGTGCGGAAGAGGTTGGATGGTGCAGCAGGACCTCACGGTTGAGATTAGAGCACAGCTGAGCAAGGCCAGGTCTTCTGGCTGATCCACCTCCAATGGGCTCTGCCATCCCGGTGCCCTCCAGAAACCCTCTGAAACCATCCGACACCCCAGCTGCTCATGAGATTTTGGAGGAGAGTTGCATCTCCTGCTGTCTCTGCTCAGCATGTGGGCTAAAACGTCGCTTTCAAGCAGAAGACCAAGGTCTCCTGTCCTCGCCAGCGGCCCAGAGCTGGGGCTAGTGGGAGAGGGACCCCAACCCAAGACACTGGCAAGAGCATCCAGTCTGTTTTCTGGTGCCTCTCCTCCACCTCATCTTGTGCTTCCCAGGAGAAGAAGGGGGAGAAAGCAGCAACTGCAAAGCAGGATTTGGTTTCGGAGCAAGATTTGCATTCAAAAGCAAAGCGGGAGGGAGCGGCAGACAAAAGGAATAAGGTCAAAGCAAAGAGACTTTCAATCCTGTGCGGGGAGAACTCTGCTTTCTGGAAGGTTTTCTCAAGTTTCCCCGTCCCTTTCTCGCTATCTCCGGGCTGTTAATAATTCAGTGATTTATATTGCAGCCAAACCTGGCGTTTCGGGGGGGTTGAGGTTATTTCTGTTTGCAATGACTTTAGCGGATTAACGAGCACTGCCTTTTGAACCAAAACGAGCCCGTTTGCGGAATTAAAGTTTCATTAACAGTCGCCGCTCCCTGATTTTTTTTTCATGCATTGGTTTCTAATCAAGTTGCTTAATTTATTTCTTGGGGGGAAGGGAGGGCAGAGGAAAAGGATGGCAAGGCTCTTCCGGCGGAGCGTTTTATTAAGGGTGAGCAGTGAAAGAGAAGCAGGCGGTGAGTCAGCATCCTCTGCCGCCCGCCGAGCTGTTGCTGGGGTGACTGGCGCAGGTGGCAGCGCGGGTGCGTCTCGCTGCTGTCCTCAAGCTGGGCCAGGACCTGCTTGTCCTAACGCATAAATCCCGGGCACC